TGTTCTAGTACACCCCCAAAACAAAATCAAGACTTTGTAAAAGAGCATAATAGGACCCCTTTAACATCCACACTATTAAAAAAAAAATGTTTCAAGAGGGGTGTGATGCCATAGTACAGTGGTTCTCAATTCCAGTCCTCGCATACCACCGCTCTGCATATTTTGCATGTCTCTCTTATTTAACACACCTGATTCACATAACCAGCTTGTTACAAGAGAGCTCCATGCATAAACTGCGTTCCAATTGACATGGTCCCTACACAGTGTTCTTTGCTCCCTACTCCCTGAGCACGGGAAATCCATTGAAGTTTACTTCATTTCGGAACATATATTCATGGATTTGCGCTACGTCACGGCCTGCAGCGTCTTTACACACAGACGAAACTTACTACAGAAGTGTGACATAATATAGCTCTGTAAATAAATACAATTTAAATTCATGTATCGCACACTTTGAATGGAACATATACACTCACTTCGAACTGGAATTATGGCGGAATATCCTGTGATGTCCACTTCACAAGGAACTTACGGTCGAATAGAACAAACGTCAGAAGTGATAAGAGATACATACAAAATGTGCAGAGCGGTGGTACGTGAGGACTGGAATTGAGAACCACTGCAATAGAAGAACCATTTTTTGTTCCCCAAAGCTTTCAGTGAACAGTTCTTAAAAAATCATAAAATCAGTGAGGAACATTTACATTTAAAGAACCTTAAAGGGGTCATATGATGCGATTTCAAGTTTTCCTTTCTCTTTGGAGTGTTACAAGCTGTTCGTGAATAGATAAGATCCCTAAAGTTGCAAAGACTAAAGTCTCAAACCCAAAGAGATATTCTTTATAAAAGTTAAGACTCGTCCACGCCAGACAGTATAAGTCATTATAATCAGTAATTATGTCCCCACTGGCTGCAACAAATGCCTCATTTATAATGGGTTTTATTGGTTTTGTCTCGTCTCCCCGGGACACGGGATCACAGTATGGTAAGGGGCGTAACATTTACGTCACACGCTTGAGGTATTCGGCCAATCACAACGCACTAAATAGCTGGCCAATCAGAGCACACCTCGCTTTTCAGAACGATGAGCTTTGAAAAATTCGACATGTTTCAGAAAGGCGGGGCATAGAGGAGAAACAATAATGTACAGTATGTGGAAAATAATGTGCTTTTTGAACCTTAAACTGCATAAACACATTTCATTACACCAAACACACAAAATAATGTTCTTTTTTAGCAACGTCATATGACCCCTTTAAATAAAATGTTGGCACGCTTAAAAATATAAAAAAGATTATTTTAAGAACTGATCACTGAAAGGTTCTTTGGGATCCCAAAATTGTTTTTCCATGACATCAATGCAGAAAACCCTTTTTGAAACCCTTAATTAAGAGTATTTCATGTTTTTAATGGAACAATAGATGCCATTAAAGAACCTTTATTTTTCAGAGTGTGGAATCTTTCCATTGCACAAAAGGTTCATAGAAGAACCGTTTTTTTTGTTCCCCAAAGAACCATTCTGTGAACAGTTCTTAAAAAAAAAGTTTATTTTAATCTAAACAACATTTTTTTCATTATAAGAACCTTTTGTGGAATGGAAAGGTTCCATGGATGATAGAGGTTCTTATTGGAACCAGCAGTGCTCTATTTTCAAACCTTTATTTTTCAGGCTATGCAAACTTTCCACAACACACAATTATTTAGAGTGAAAATGGTTGTTTAGATTTTTACAATGGTAGTTTGAATAAATGGTTGTTTGAAGAACTGTTCACTTAAAGGTTCTGTGGCAAACCCCAAAAAATGGTGGTTCTATGATAGGCCTGCAGTGAAAACCCGCTTTCAGAACCTTTATTTTGAGAGAGGATTCTGTTGACCTGCTCTCATGATGCAGCTAGTGATTCTTTCACCAGTCTAGGGGATTGATTGCCTCTCTAGCGCTGAAGTGTGCTTGTGGATTGTTGTCAGAGAAGGTAAAATTACATTAAGGTCTCGGTTTGTACTGGATGTTCTCAGGGATGGAGATGATACAGTAAAGTTATTTAAAGAAACAACAACAACAACACCTTCTTTTACTCTCTCAGATCTCTCTTTCTCTGCCCCGGCACACTCTTTCTTTACATGTCTCGTCCTCATCACACTTACACCACAACCCATGATAGGCACATGATGTGCTCGGCTCTCAGACAGACATATTTCTTTGTACAAAGCTGCAGTCAGACATTTATTTACAAAGAATCATGCCATGGATAACATGCCAGCAGTGTAATATATGTGCAAAGCTACAATCAGGGTCCAACATTAGCACTTCCCAAGTGCCAAGGAGAAGAGAAAAGTCAGATTCGTTGAGTTACTAGATGGGTTGTAAGGAAAGAATGACGGTCTGATCATCACACTAGTTTTTTTTTTCTTTCTTAAATTATCAAAATTGTATTTTGTATTTTTTTAACAAAAAAAACAAAAAAAAAAATCAATCAAACATTGCTTTAAACAATATCATTGCTATATATGGTTTTATATCATGAGCATAATGTTGTAAAACATACTATTTAGAAAATGAATGAAATAGAATAATGTGATATATATATATATATATATATGTGTGTGTGTGTGACAAGGGGAAAACCTTGGGAGAAACTGAGACTCTACAACATATTATAGTATTTCCACTAAAATATATAATTGTTCTGTACTATATACTATATATAAGTTATTCTGGTGTTAACAAGGAGACACAGGAGGTTTTGGTCAACTGAGGTTTTGTTGTCCTTCAGGTAGTTCTCGGGGCTCATAAAAAGTGCAGTGAGGATTTTGCTAACTCTGCAAGTCGTGCTTCATCCATAGACAAAAAGATTTCAGCAGGAAATTGGACGTCCTGCCATGCTGATCCTGTAACCTGCATCAGGTTATTTCTGCTTATCTGGCCTTTCTCCAGTCTTCCTCTCTGTCTTCCTCGTCCTTCATGGTGAAGGCATGTGTTTGCACTCTTTATGTAGAAATATCCTCCCAGTGGTCCTCAGATTGTAAAATGTGTTTAATATAATTTATTGGCTGACATCAAAGCTGAAGGATTTAATCCAACAATATTATTGGCCTCAAGTTTACAAGTCTGAAATCTCTTTTGCCAAAATACACTACCCTTCAAAAGTTTTGGGCCTGTAGATTAATGTTTTTGAAAGATGTCTCTTCAGCTCACCAAGGCTGCATTTATTTGATCAAAAATACAAGTAAAACAGTAATATTTTAAAATATTATTACAATTTAAAATATCTGTTTTCTATTGTGATTTTTAATACATCTATGTATTAAATTAGATGTTAGATATCCAAATTTTTTCTTTCTTTCTTTCTTTTTTAAACAAGAAACCGCAAACAGAATTAAAACCGAAGTAAGAAAGCCCATTAAAACTACAATAGCTATGAGTCATTAACAACATAATGTTCTCTGAGTTACTGTTGGTTATACATCACATAGGAATTAGTGCTGAGTGTTTGAAAAATTTGCACAAAGATGATTTTGGGCATCGTTAACAGATAATAGAGACTAATAAAAAAAAGACAGATGTTCTTTCAATGTGCTCTTTAAACGCAGAGATATGGAGAATGCTTCAAGACATCATTGCACCCTTGTATCTTCAAGCTCTTTGCGTCATGTTATCCACTTTTTTATTTCTCTCTCTCTCTCTCTCTGGACTGAGGAAGCCCTTTAGATCTTGTTGCACACAGATAAAAAAGCATTTCATATTGGGTTTGCCTGCAGGAAGAGCCATTCTCTGTTCTGCTACTTTCAAAGGGACTGGGACTCATTTCTTTGTTGTGGGCTTTTACACACTCAAAGCACAAACAATATTGCAAGAATGCCACTAGTTTTATGACATTTTTTTATGCAAATGTCAGAGGTACACAACTGTTCAAATGTTTTTTAATGTGTAAGTCTCTTCTGCTCACCAAGGCTGAATTTATTTGATCAAAAATACAAACAGTAAAATTGTGAAATATTATTACAATTTAAAATAACTGTTTTCTATTTTAAAATGTAATTTATTCCTGTGATGCAAATCTGAATTTTCAGCATCATTACTCCAGTCTTCAGTGTCACACGATCCTTCAGAAATCATTCTAATATGCTGATTTGCTGCTCAGGAAACATTTCTTATTATTACCAATCAGGGTTTGAAATTAACACCAGCCAACCCGCCAAATGTGGGTAAAAATCAGCTGTGGCGGGTAACGCTGTCAGAGTAACCAAAATGATTTGGTAACATTCTACAAAATATCTTTTGTTTTTTACAAGAAAGTAAGACTCACACAGGTGGAAAGACATGAGGGTGAGGAAAGGAGGACAGCATTTATTATCAGTAAATTTCCTATGTTCTAGCACAAAATCAATGCTTATACTGTCAAGTGCATTTCTATGTGACACAAATGCAGTAGGCTATTAGTTTGTTGCATTTGCTGTGAATTCAGAAATATATCATTATTTGTTTTTGTCCTCATTTATTTATTTATTTACTTACTCCAATTGAAGACCCTATAACACAGCGAAACATTCACAGGGAACCTTGAGGGCCGGGTAGGCTGGATTTGTCCAGGGACGAATTTTAACCCCAGTCCAGCCCTGTACCCATTGGCTGGTGAGTGAAAAGGTTAATTTCAAACCCTGTTACCAATGTTGAACAGAGTTGTGCTGCTTCATATATTTGCAGAAATCATAGTACATTTATTTTCAGGATTCTTTGATAAATTAAAAAAAAAAAAATCAAAAGAACAGCTTATTTATTTGAAAGAGCAATCTTTTGTAACATTATAAATGTCTTTACTGTCACTTTAATGCATCCTTGCTGAATACAAATATTAATTTATTTAAAAAAAAAAAAGTACTGACCACACATTTTTGAGTGGTAGACAAACCTGCATAGCATATGAAAGTTTCTGTTTCATTAATCTCTAGACATTGCTAGTCAACTCTGTTTCTAAATAACCTTTCTGATGGACTTCCATAGGTTAAAAGTCTTGTGAGTGTATATTGAACAAACTGAATGGACAAACCTGTGTAGCATGTGAACAATTCTGCTTTATTCATTTCTAATCAAAAGGTCAATGTGAAATCGAACAAGACCATTTCTAAATGGACCAGGGCTTATTGTGAATGATTGATCATGTTTTGAATGTAATAACTTTCCTTTGAACTGTCTTTCACATCTTTTTTGTCTTTCTTCCAGAAACCGTGGACTCCCTGGTCCGTCAGGCGGAGAACCACACTCATGCCATCCTCCTGCACACATACCGTGACCTGGCCAGTCCTGCGGCGGCTCCCATCGGGGAGTTTTTCACAGATGTGGGTCTCTTTGTCTTGGGCTCCGAGCTCAGTCTGGAAGAAGCTTCACACCGCTTCTTTGACGCCCTTTTCCCCCTGGTTTACGAGCGGCTGGTGGAGCCGGGTCTCTCCCGCTTGTCTCCACCGTACGCCGAGTGTGTCCGCATGGCCTGTCGGGATCTGGCGCCATATGGCAGAGCCCCGAGTCGCCTCGCCGCGCACATCTCCCGGGCCTCACTGCCTGGCCGGGTGTTCCTCCAAGCGCTTCACTTGGGCGTCGAGGTCATCAATACGACCGACCACATTCAGCTCAGCCGTGAGTGTAGACGTGGGCTGCTGAGGATGAGCTACTGCCCGCACTGTCAGGGTCTGACCGCCAGCAAGCCCTGCATGGGCTACTGCCTCAACGTGGTGCGAGGGTGTCTCGCCAGCCTGGCCGAAGTGGACGCCCATTGGAGGGAGTTTGTGCGATCGTTAGAGACGCTCTCCACCCGCATGCATGGAGCGCAGGACCTGGAGCAAGTGCTTCTGGGAGTTCACGAGCTGGTGAGGGATACAGTGGCCCACGCGCAGAGGAGTGCACCGCGACTTTCTGCTCAGGTACACGGAATATATGTGAGGTAGTTTGCAGAATGGGCATGTAATCAAAAAAATATGAAGACCTAAAGTGATCATGCATATGCCAGCACTTATTTTTTATTGGTTTATTGTCTTTCAGATTATATTCTTTGATGAGCGAATATTTACGTTTACTTTTATGCATTTGGGAGATGCCGTTATCTGATGCTATTTCAAGATATACACATTTTCAGTTCATGCATTCCCTGGGAATCGAACCCATGACCTTGCTGCTAACGCCATGTTCCTGTTTGAGCAACATGAATGTGTATTTACTACATTTATGTGAATATATTTACTGTATATGGATGTTTGTTTATATGTAGGCAATTTTGCTGGATGGACTTCTAGAAAATAAAATGTGTATAAAATAAAATGCTAAGACTAATTTAATGCTAAAGACAAATTCTAAGACTAATGCTAAGACTATATCATTTTAAATATTCTAAGTAAAAAGTAGATAATATTATATATATATTTTTTTTTCATGTCATATTTCATGTCATATCATATATTATATATTCATATTATATATTAATTCCTCCAGAAAAGCCCTGCTTCAGTGATTTTGGCTGGAATAAACTGATGCATTGGCTTATTACATACATATTTCTGTTTTTCACAAAAATTGTAACATTCTGACATGACGGCAGCATTTGACCTTGAAATTTTGAGTTTAATTCCGTGTATAAAATCCTGAAGGCTCAATGTTTGTTTACTTTTATGGCTGTGGCATGTTGAAAAACCTTGCGTTCACAATTAGGTGAACCAGAAACATTTTTCTTCCAAACCCAAACATTGGCCTTTGCATTTTTGTAATTTTCATTTCAGAATTTCCCAAGCAGCATCTTAAACCCGTGGTGTAGCTACTATATGGACGGCGTGGAATGCGGTACAGCCTAAACATGAGTTGCTCGCAGTCACACATGCCATGCTGCAGCCAGAGAGCCCAGAACATTCCCAAAATACTCTCAATGTGGGCAGCTGCAGCGGCACGGCTGGCCACGCTGATGTGTGCTGGACGCCTGCAGTCATACTGGGCTTCTGTGGGATTCACTATGCATGTTTTCAGATAGCTTTGTGGTGTTGTTGAAATGTGAAGGTTTGCAGATGCAGTGTCTTGTGTGTATGTGTGCGTGGGGGGATAGAATAAGCCCTTAAACCGTATGGCTTTGTTAGCGATCGAGTGACACTTGATCAGCAAGGGTTGTGAGTGTGGATCAGAATCTGGATCAGAATCAAGTCTTTAATAAGGTGTTCGACATTGGTTAAGGTTGG